TACATACATACACACATACACACACACACACGCATACATACATACATACATACATACATACATACACACATACATACATACATACATACATACACACATACACACACACACGCACACATACATACATACATACATACATACATACATACATACATACACACATACATACATACATGCATACATACATACATAGTTACATGCATACATACATACATACACAAATACACACATACACACATACACACATACATACATACATACATACATACACACATACACACATACACACATTTACAAAAATACAACAAAGAAAGACATACATACATACATACATACATACACACATACATACATACATGCATACATACATACATAGTTACATACATACATACATACATACACAAATACACACATACACACATACATACATACATACATACACACATACACACATACACACATACACATACATACATACATACATACATACAGACACACACACATACATACATACATACATACATAGTTACCTACATACATACATACATACATACATACACACATACATACATACATACATACATACATACATACACACATACACACACACACGCACACATACATACATACATACATACATACATACACACATACATACATACATACATGCATACATACATACATAGTTACATACATACATACATACATACACAAATACACACATACACACATACACACATACATACATATATACATACATACATACACACATACATACATACATGCATACATACATACATAGTTACATACATACATACATACACAAATACACACATACACACATACATACATACATACATACATACATACACACATACACACATACACACATACACATACATACATACATACATACAGACACACACATACATACATACATACATACATAGTTACCTACATACATACATACATACATACATACATACATACACACATACACACATACATACATACATACATACATACATACACACATACACACATACACACATACACACATACATACATACATACATACAGACACACACATACATACATACATACATACATACATGGTTACATACATACATACAGACACACACACATATACATACAGACACACACACATATACATACAGACACACACACATATACATACATACATACATGCATGCATACATACATACATACATAGTTACATACATACATACATACATACATAAATGGTTACATACATACATACATACATACATACATACATACATACATACATACATACATACATACATACATACATACACACATACACACATACACATACATACATACACACACACATTTATATATATATATTATGTTTGACATTTATAAACCATGTGTAACTTTTGGGGTCCCAACTGGGGAAGCAGCATGGCCACCAGGTGGCAACGGAATTGGAAGTGGCAACGGCATCGTTGGTGCGCAAGGCGCGCCCTGAGAAGCTGAAAGCCGCACCAAGAAGCGCATCAGATGCATCGGATATCGATGGATTATCAGAATCGGACATATGTTCGAGAAGATTGGAGAAGATTTGAGTTTTTGATGAGTTTTGTTTGGGGAAATTCAGCTCAAGCCCTTCAGATGCGTGAAGTTGAATGAGTTCTGCGCCTTAGACTCGCAAGTGGTCTCATTTCCGGTAAACCTTTTGTAGACATCAGAAGTTATGGATGTTGACCGTAACTTGTTGGACACCTGCTTGTAGGATCTTGCAGGAGTAGGGGAGTGGATTGCAATGTCCAAGTGCAAAGTCGGCGGCGCACAGGTTCAAGAGTGTCCCGATGCCACTCCTTCCAGTGCAAGTCCCAAGGCTAGAGTCTAAGAACATCAAAGCAATTTCAGTCGAAATTCAGTCCATTTTCATGGGTTTTCTATGGTCTTCTTGTTGTAGGAGGGAATTCACAGGACGTTTTCCCATGGAAGTCACACATGTTTCACATGCTTTTGCTGTGGCTTCAACATGTTCCAACTTCTGTCTCTGCTTGGTGAATTTGGTGGCTTGGTGTCATCATGGGGAGACCTTAAGCATGGCCATGAGTCAACACATACGGTTTCATGTGCCATTTATTCTGCCATTTATTCCATTTGAAGGTGGACGACTTCTTTCCCATTTTTTGTTTTGGGCAGGTCAGAGGACGTGCCATGCGGATTTAGGACTGCAAAGTTAAAGGCTCAAAGTCACTCAAAGTCTCAAAGTTGCTTTCCGAAAGTTGCCCATAGCCATGAGAGTGGCTCTGAGTACGGAAGCCCCAGCTGAAGCGTCTGGAAGTGTTGTTGCGCCAACTGAAGCATTTGAGAGTGCCGTAGTGCCCGGTGTCAAACTGCATGCAAAAGCATGTGAAGGTAGCACGCTGTTTCAAAATGATTTGCCGGCAACTGAGATGGGGTTGAGCGAAGAGGCAGAGGTGTTGTATTGGCGAAAGTACAGCACACCGAAGTGCCGGAAGTGCAACAGCTGCCAAAAGGATCCAGGTGAAGCTGGCTGGCACATTGGATACATTGGATACATTGGATACATGGGTGCTTGACGACCATGCAGCAATCGAGGCGACGTTCGGTGACCAGGTGAAAGTGCCACACGTTCTCCGGCTTCCGGCACCTCGAACATCCTGACGGTTTGCCGTCCAAACGTGGCACCCAAGTGGTTACGATTTTAATGATTTGATGGTTTCAATATGTTTTGGAAAATGTTTTGGAAAATGTTTCAATGTGGACTTGGAAAAGGAAGAGGAGGTTCAAAGGGAGAAGCGTGTACTGCAGGAGAGGAAAAAGAGGGTGCAAAAGAAACTTGACAAAGAACGATGTGAACATGTATTGTGCTGCTTTCCTTTATATTTCTTCTGCATGTTTCTCAGCTTTACGTTTCTCATCCTTGCATCTTTGTGCCGCATGACGTAGCCTCTGCTGTTCTACTGAGCTTGGCAGTGGTTGTGTTGCTGGGCAGCGTGGCATTGAATGGTTGCTTCGCCTATCATGGTGTGCATACGCGTGTTGTTTCCTTGGTGCACTAGGCGTGGCTGCGGCCATTGCTCGTTAGTGTGCTGATCGCTGGGCTGCCATGCCGTGGCCTCTCCACCTGTGTTGTGCTTGGTCGGTTAGCTCCCTGGAAGAGGAGATAGAGGACATGGAGGATATGGATAAGAAATCGGTCGCTGAACGCACCATTGTCTTCCACGGCTCCATCCTTGAGGGTAAGGGCCCATGTGTTTCCTCATGGCCTGGGAAGTACGAATCTGCTTGGGATGTCCTGGTCACAGGAAGCCGCAAAGGCAATGTCAGCGCCGCTGTGGTCTTTCTGCCAGAAGGCTCTGAGCATTTCGGCTGCCATGACCCAATCCTAGAGGAGGAAAACCTTGAGGGCAGCTGCTTGCAGGGATGAAGGGAAAGGGCAAAGTTTAGCACTTTCTGACGGCTGGCGAGGAACACATGAGGCGAGAAGCCATTCAAGGCAAGAAGAAGCAGTTTCTGAAGTCGGGGGACTTTTGTGATGCACTCCATGAAAGGATTGAAGGCCTTCGCCAAGGGCCCCGTAGAGACTCCTCTTCCCAATACTCGCGTGAGGTACATGGCCTTTTTTTGGCTTCCCTCACAGAGGAGGATTGCAACTTCCTTGAGGCATCTGAAGGTCTTGGAAATTCTCAGAAGGCCGAGGTGGCATGGCTCGACAAGAAGGGCTATGCTTACACTGAAGTGGAGATAGATGTGTCCACTTGGCTTAAGTAGGTAGATGGCAAAGATCTCTTTCAGGAGTTTTTTTGGTCGCAGCAGGCAATTGGCCAAGCCATTGCGCATAGCTGAGTAGTTGCCATCAACTCCTTATTTCCGCCAAAGTGCATCAGAACAAAGCCTCATCTGGTATTGCAAGTAGGTGATTAGATAATTGCACACTGGACAGTGGACACTCGATATTCCTTGATGATCCTGCTTCATACGTGAGAACCACTCGATCAAGTCAAACAGGAGCTAAGAGGCATTAAGAGGCCTATATGGGGCTGACACAAGAAGGTCACCCAACATGGTGTTCAGAACGTTGGTGTTAAACATGTGGAGCCAATCTAACCCCGGAAATTCTGAAAGGTCCTTGAAGCGGCTTGCAGCACGCAAGTAAAGCTATATCCAAAGCTATAAGTAAAGGTGAAGTCAAGCAGCTAGAGTAAAGGCGTACATAGAGCTATACCGGCTATACCAGTTACGAGCAAAGGCGGAAAGGGTGGACATTGCAAGGTCCTCAGATGCCCTCAGTGTACGCCAGGCTGCACTCCGCATGGGCGCGCTGGCCGCTAGCCGCCCCGCATGGGCGGCGCCGCCTACACAGGGAGGGCAGCAACTTGGCGCCATAAAATTTGGAGAAAACGCTGAGGGGCGCCTGCAGCCAGAACATGTGATGCATCATGATATTCTTAAATATTTCTGGATATCTGTGTGATTTTGACAAAAGTATGGATCATGATGGAGATAATGGCCGGAAAGTCATTCGAGATGGGAAACCCGCAGCACAACGCGAAAATGACATCGAATCGACCGACCCAAGGTCTGAGTCAGGCTACGAGCCGCGAATGATGGCGCAGCCGCTGCCACTGTCCACCACCCGTGCTCTTCAGGAGCTTGAGGATCAGGGCGCCTCGCTGCCGCTGCATGGCTGCTTTGGTTGCATATGGAGGGACGTTGAATATGTTGAACAGCGTTTTACATCAGGGAAGCAAAGCCCAGCCCTAGATCAATAGGGGGCAGTGTCGGAAGGTGCCAGATATGGTTATGAAGACTGTACGGATGACGCCGGCACCCAAAGCAAACCGCTAGAGACGCAGAGGAAGGCGCAGCATCCGCAACAGTAGAAGCGGGACGAATCAGCCATGTGCCTTTAACCTGCGCGGTGGTGGTCAGAAGCAAAAACTGGGACCCCTTAGTCTGGCCCCTTAGTCCACAGCTATCCGATCAACTACCCGCAAGGACATTGCTGAAAGAAGGCAACCCGTAGCATTTGGATTTCGAACCAGTCCGAATATGCTTTTGTGTCTCAGAACTGTTTCATCTTGGAGATGTTGTGATTTACTTCAGGATGTATGAGCCAAAGACATGTATTCCTCCGGACCTAGGTCTTGCGAAGCCGAAGCCATCGAAAGTGCTACCTGCAGGCCAGAGGGTCCCTTCAGATGACTTATTAGCCTATGGGCCTACGGGGTATCGGGGTTAGATCCAAAGATGATACAACCTGGTGATCGAAATGGGAGGGATTTTGATTGATATTTTGTATTCTATGATTCTACGCTTCAGTTCGCTTGGACTATCAGTGATGAGGGTTTTCTGTGGAGGTCACAGTCTTTGTCAGCTTGGTCCATGTCAAGTTGGTACAGCACATTGCGGAGCCAGGTGATCCAAAGGAGAGCAGTGAAGGCCTGTGTCTAAGGTAATCTCAGGCAATAGTTTGTCTGAAACTTCGTTTATTCTTCGTTTATTCACTTTGCTTGTTTCGAGTTTGGTAGCCATCGGTTTCGGTCAATTGCCACCAGTTTCGGTCAATTTTCATGACATTGGTCACACTTCACATCATCACTTCTCATCACTTCTGGAGAGCTGTCCCGAAGATAGGTTATGGCTGCACCCACAGGGTGTACGCCATGTCCGTCCACTATGCTTGGTGGAAAATTCATGGCCCGCCTGGCCAGGTCATGACGTGCCTGTTGACCTGCCCCGGGTCAACACGAAGACCAAACATTCAGGCGCCACCAAACTTGATGCACCTTCTGTATCCTTTCGTCACAAAAGCCTGCCGGCTTCTCAATAGCGCAAGGGCAGACCAACTTGCCCAAAGGAGGGTTTTGAACTATTTTGAACACTTCCAATGATATTGTGTTGTTGATATAGTTGCTTGTTTTGCATTCACTCACATCATGAAAAGCACTGTCACCCCTATTTGCAACAGCGCATCAACATCGTGATATTGATGACTGCAATTCGCAATTCATACAACTTCTGTATATATATATATAATTATATATATATATACACGCATACACATACACATGATTGTTGTGACCTTCTGAATCCAATGATCGGCATCATTGGCATACATTCATCGTCACCGGTCGTCACCTTGAGCCTTAAGGCTTAAGATGATTCTGTGTTTTTTTTCAATGGTTACGAGTCCAGGCGGTACAGGTGCTGCGGAGCGAATATTTGGGCTTGTGCCGCAAAACAGTTCGGATGATCCGTGTCCGCATCCGTAGTTGGGAAAGGTTGGCAATCTCTGGGATAGCTCAATATCCCTGTTGATAAACCAGACACGGGGATGATGTGACAAAAAACATTGCTTGAGGGCTTCAGGGCCAGAAAGATTTTCAGGTGTTCGCATGGGACAGTCAGTCAGCATCAAAAACTCTCAGCTGTCCATGTGGTGACTGGACTGGGTAGAGTTGAAGTGCCTATGGGTGCAAGTCTGATGAATCTCTCTTCTTGTAAGTGGATTTGCGCCCAAGATCACAACATGGAAGCCTGGATCTGAAGTCCGTTCTAGGCTCTCGCTCCGAAATTCGGAAACACAACTTCCGACAAGTGTGTAGTGTGTAGTGATTTTCTAATGGTTCAACAAATGGTTCAACAAATGGTTTGCTATGGTGCACTGCTTCGGTTGATTTGCATGGTTGGGATGCCCTCTGACAATCCCTCTCATTAGAGCTTGCTGGGAATCCATCAAACCAATCTCATCAAACCACCATTCAATCAATCATTGGTTCAATGGCAGTTTTCAGCGATCCTCTCCTTCGGTAGCCCAGGAGCAACCAAAGATCACCTCTCAGTGGCGTTTGCGAGTCCAAGAGATCATTCGACACAATTGGTGCGCCATGGGTGCTTAGGTTGTTCGTCCAAAGATATGTGAAAGACATTCCAAGAATCTTCTTCTTCTTCTTCCTGCTTCTTCCTTCTTTTTCTTCCTTCTTCTTCCTTCTTCTTCCGTCTTCTTCTTCTTCTTCCTTTTCTTCTTCTTCCTCTTCCTTTTCTTCTTCTTCTTCTTCTTCCTTATTCTTCTTATTTTATTTTCTTCTCTTCTTTGTCTCCTTTTTCTTATTCTTCTTTTTTCTTCATCATCAGGTTCATTTTCATCATTTTTTTTCACCGTCTTCATTTTCATCATCTTCATTTTCACAATCTTCATTTTTACAACCTTTATTTTCATCATTTTTATTATCATCATCTTATTGTTCATCATCTTGAATTTCATCATCATTATCTTCCTGTTTATCATTTTCATGTTCATCATCTTCATTTTCATCATCTTCATGTTTATCATCTTCATGCTCATCATCTTCATGTTTATCATGTTCATTTTCATCATCTTCATTTTAATCATTTTTATCTTCATCTTCACGTCATCGTCACGATATTTTCACTTCATTTTCACTTTATCTTCACTTCATTCACTTTATCTTCACTTCATCTTCGTCTTTGTCATTATCTTCATCTTCATCGTCATCTTCATCTTGATCTTCCTCTTCCTCTTCATCATCATCATCGTCGTGGTCGTCATCATCGTCATCGTCCTCCTCCTCCTCCTCATCATCATCATCATCATCATCACGAAAGATGAAGCTTGGCAAGATCACATGAGAAAATCAGATGTTGTACAGTGGATCCAGTGGATGCCCCACTCCCAAGACGAATGCGAAGCATTTTTTTGTAGGGCCGAGCGTGGATGAACCTATGGGCTATTGAGGGCTTTTCAGATTCAGCTGTGCAAAATTGGCTTGCAGATGGGATGTGATGTGTTCTGCAGGAAAGGTACTGTTTTCCAAGGTATTGTGCACTTTTTGCGGACCAGGATCAGTTCAGTTAGTTTAATTGGATTTGTAGGGGTTGCGGATCTGGTGAGCACACGACATTTATACCATCGCAACAGAGTCTGCTTGCCTTGGCCTTGTCCAGGTTTGATTGCTTCGTGATGAGCATGGTATTGCTTCATTCCCTCCTTACTGGTGCCCTGCCCCATGCACATGGCATGGCAAGGAAAACCCGATGGGTGGGAATAGTGTAGATAATTGTGCATATACAAATACATACATACATACATACATACATAGATACATACATACATAGATACATAGATACATAGATACATAGATACATACATACATAGACATATATACATACATAGACATATATACATACATAGACATAGATACATACTTAGACATAGATACATACATAGACATATATACATACATAGACATATATACATACATAGGCATATATACATACATAGGCATATATACATACATAGACATAGATACATACATAGACATATATACATACATAGACATATATACATACATAGGTATATATACACATATAGACATATATACATACATAGACATAGATACATACATAGACATATATACATAGACATATCTATACATACATAGACATATATACACATATAGAGATATATACACATACAGACATATATACATACATACACAAATGTACATATATAGACATATATACACATATACACATATAGACTGATATACATAGACATATATACATACATAGACATATAGACATACATAGACATATATACATACATAGACATATATACATACATAGACATATATACATACACAGACATATATACATACATAGACATATATACATACATAGACATATATACATACATAGACATATATACATAGACATATCTATACATACAAAGACATATATACATACACAGACATATATACATACATAGACATATATACACATATAGACTTATATATATATTTATATATACATAGACATATCTATACATACAAAGAGATATATACATATATAGACATATATGCACATACTGACATATATACATACATAGGCATATATACATACATAGACATATGTACATACATAGACATATATACATGCATAGACATAGATACATACATAGACATATATACACATATACACATATACTTATATACTTATATACATATACATATATACATACATAGACATATATACATACATAGACATATATACATACATAGACATATATACATAGATAGACATACATAGATACATAGACATATATACATACATAGACATAGATACATACATAGACATATATACATACATAGACATAGATACATACATAGACATATATACACATATACACATATACTTATATACTTATATACATATACATATATACATACATAGACATATATACATACATAGACATAGATACATACATAGACATATATACATACATAGACATAGATACATACATAGACATATATACATACATAGACATAGATACATACATAGACATATATACAGACATATATACACATATACACATATACACATACATATACTTATATACATATACATATACATGATGTGCATATGAAGTCTGACGTGGAGGGTATTCGGTAGGCTTACAGTCATCATCCCAACGCGTTATTGGTGCAGAATGCCCATGACATTTGGTAGATCTGAAGAGTCTAGTGGAGTTGCCTTGGTTCACTGACTTGTTCATTCTTGTCTCTTAGCTTTGCAGGTCTATTTTTTTGCATGGCTTCTATGACATTGCATGGAGGAAATGCATGGTGGCAAGAAGATCCAGACAAGACAAAGACAACCACAATTTCTTGGAGAGAATCATTGTTCTTGATTTTGTCTCTGCGTCTTCAGGTGGTTTGTAGACACCCATGGGGGGGCCACGGTCCATGTTTGGTCTTCGCACGAGATGCCTGGAAGCTAAGGGATCCAGATCCATGCGATGTCGGCCACTGGCAGCTTACACCCAGGGCCAGTGCACCAAGTGCTGACGCTTGGTGCACAGGAACTGTGGATTTCAATGAACCATGAAAACATATGAAAACTCATATTCAGAAATGCCAGCGTCGACCACAGCTTGGCAGTTGTAGAGGGATTATGCCACAGGGGCAATTTTTTTTTACTGAGCCTCAAGACGCGTTCTTATTCTCAAGGCTGTGGGTAAAGATCCGCAGCGAGGAACAATTGTGTAGATTCAAAAAACGATCAAAAACCAAGGCTTGAAGTACCATGGTTTTGTCAATAAGGTCCTTGTCAATCCTTGTCAAGTGAGTTTCTTTAAAGATAGGGCCCTGTTTGGTTTCAAGGGTTTGGGAGTGGTATGTTGTTTGCTTGCCCAAAGCCGGAACGAAACCCGGAACGCTGGAACCGTAAAACGCCGCTCAAAGCTAGGTTAATTTCGGTTAACCGGTTGGCAATGATCTTTCTCCTAGTTTGAGTGAACAGGCAGCCCTTTCAGTGCGCAGCACCAAATACATGTAACATCATGTAACACCTGTAACAACTACCAAAATCCTTTATCGCATGCAGAAATTGGCAAAATCATCAATTTGTATCCAATGCTATGAGTTTTCCAGTCACAAGGCTACTGTACCTGCAACACTCTTTAAATCTGCTGTCCCCAAGCTTCCTTTGGCCCAGTGGTTGCACGTACTACAAAATTGCGCTGCACTTTCTCAAACTTCAAAGCTAATTGTATCTGTTGGTAATGCTGGTAGCTCGCTATAGAAACAGCCGTAAAAACCTTCAGAGGACAGCTTGGGATTGGCTTTCGTCAGTGTGCTTTGATTGAAAGATCGGTGCTCTGGCACTCTCTCATCCTGTCTTGTCCCAGCTATTTCCCTGTTGGATATCATCCAAGATGCACAACCCACCAAGGAACATGATTTTTTGCATCTTTTTTTCTGCAGAGGCCACGGGGAGAGGACAGGTGGAAGGCAGAAGTGGTGGGAAAATATGGGCATTGTGACATATTTAATTTTTGAGGGTTTGCCCTTGCCGCCACGGCGTATCTTCGTTGCATTCGTTGCATTTGCCATGGTGATGTTTCTTTGCTAACTCCTTGGCCGGCTCATTGGAAACCTTGCTGGTTCTAATGGCTATTACATGCTATTGCTCTGGTGGGAATCTTAATCCTTGCACCTGGTGGATCCTGGTGGCATGAAGTCGATCACAGGACCATTCGCAGGGTTGAATGCCAAATGTCCGCCCTTAAGTTTTGGATGGTCCTGAAAATAGAGATATCACCGCTCCAAAACCTGCAGTAAGCCATGTGCCGCCATGTGTGCATCTTAATGTGGGAAACTCATTGCTTTTCTCCAAATTGCTGTCCTAATCACACTGCGACAATCACACCACAACAATCACATCAGCGTTTGGGTCTTAATTTCACCGCAGATACCAGCAATTTAGATTACGGTCCATCTGGGGAGTCATCACGAAACCTGTTTGTCAGGTGGCCTTGCGATTGTATGTCTATCGGCTACGGTTCTTCACCATGTGCCGGGGAACTGACGGAAAATGGTTGTGGGGCTGGAAGTGCATGAGGGACAAAGCCGCAACTGCCGATTTGAGAATGGAGTTGGCAATATTGGACATACAGACACATACATATGCGTATGTATACATCAACTATCATCAACTCTTACTTTACTTCCTTATATATTTCTGGGACTCTATCCCAACTGACGCGCGCTCCTGCCACTTTTCATGGCAAATCAACCAGAGAGACACTGGATCATACAGAGAAATCGGGAGAAATCGGCGGCTCATGCGTAGTGCCTGGGTGTAGTGCCCTTACCAGGCTGCTGATCTCCGGGTGAGTCCCCCACGCTGTTCCCAAAACAGTTGGGCTGGGGATACCGGCATCCAGGTTTTCGGATAATCTTGCGACGATCCAGGCATGTAGCAGTCAGGAAAATGTGAAGCTTGTGCTACTTGGGTGATCTTCGGTGCTTTGGCGTTGACTTATCTTGCTCCAGGTACGGCTGTGCGTGGAATGTCCTGGATTTGTTGGTCACGCTCTTTCATCTCTTCGAGGTGAGGATACCCAAGTGGTGATTGCAAGAGTGACGTCAGTGGCATCGTGATGGGTGAATGTTTAGGCGCCAAACTTGTCAAGATGACGCGCCTTGTACATACATGCACTCTTGATCGCATATGTGCATACGTACGCATACATTTGTGTAAATATAATGTAAGCCTATTTGGAGACTATTGTGGATCAAGTGACACGTTTGTTAGTGTTCGGACTAGATTTTGGATAGATGTAAGCGTATGCGCGTATCTGCGCGTATAAGTTTATCCTGATTCAAAACTGCGCGTAGCTTAGACTCAGATGGATGCCATGCCTTTCGCTATCAGTGGCCGCTGACTAGTGACTACTAGTGACTACTAGTGACTACTAGTGACTGCTGGTGACTAGCCGTAAAGGTCGTTTGATGTCAAGGGACCTGGTCGCCATAGGCCTGGCCCCAGCTCCACCCGGCTCCACCCAGCTCCACCCAGCTCCCAGCTGAGGAGTTTGGCGCTTTGGTGGTTAAGGCACGGTTGGATCAGGTTTAGAGAACACCCATATGGACATATGTGGACATGGCAGAGCCAATCCAAGTCCATATGATACTGTACTTATGAAAGCTCAAAAAAAAGGTTTGCTTTGAAACTACTAGGCTAGGCGTGATTGTCCCAAAGTTCGAGAGTCTCTTGCAAGTGTGAAAGGGTTGAGATTGCCCTTGATGTTGCTTATCCAGAGTCTCGGACCGTCCCAGAAGTCAAACCGATGGAACGAATCCTTAGAAGCCTTAACTTTGCCTCTTGAATCGCTGTGACGATTTACAGATTGCTGGTGTCACATGCCACCTGCAGGCGACGGCCAACAGTGAGTTGGAATTTACCAACAGCAGTGTTGTGAGGCGGGCTCCTGAGATGCCTTGTGACATATTGTGACATATTGTGACTTTGTGGGCTTGGATCCAGCGAGACCAGGAGTCTCCCGCTTGGAGCCCCAGATGGCGTACCAAGACATGGTAAAAGTAAAAGTAGCATCCACCGTTGATGGGTGCAACACACAATATTCAAAAAGGTAGATATGTTACATTGCTGCAATGCACCAACACATTTACAAGGCCACATCAACTCCACTCAGAAACCAAGCAGGATCAACACGATGTGATGCCTTGTTTGGGTTTGAAAAACCATGAGCAACTTCTGGACTGCAGGGGTTGTGCCCGTGTGCCATCACCGGCCAGGACAATCAGAATCTTGCGTGGCATCAAGGCGTGACCCTGGTTATACCCTGGTGGCCTTCCCGGCCCCCAGCCAATACAGAAGTTCTATGAGTTCTATGTCATTCTTCTTCTTCTTCTTCATCATCGGTATCAGTTGTCAGTGCTGGAACCGCTTTGAGCTTCGGCTCCACATCTCTGGCTGCCCTTGCCAGCAAAGGCCAAAAGCAACTATCACCAATGCCCTGTGACATTCACACTGCTTGCATGGCATACAACAATAAATGGGATTAAATGGGTCCATGGTCATTCGCACCAAAAGACATTCAGGGGGTATTGTGATGCTTGATCGTGTATGCCCTTCTCATCTTATGGGTTTATCTAGAATAGGCCCTTCGCTTGTTGATTGCGAAGCATTTTCAAACAATATTCATCAAGCATATCCCGATACTTCCGGTCTTGATTTGCGTCTCAGTTTGCTTGAACAACATGTCTACAAACACGCACCGGCATACAAACACACATGAAAACGCGTACATACACAAAAACAGAGACACAGATACGGTGTGTGTACAGAGCGCATGGACAGGCGCAAATTAAAAGCCTCAGATTGGCCAAGACTGGGGCCAAGACTGGGGCCAAGACTGGGGCCAAGACTGGCCAAGTGGAGGGGTAGGTAGACTCTCCGCAGGTGATCCGACTCGTGCGCTTCATTCGCTATGCCGAGGAACTTCAACTTATTGCAACTTGGCCCTGGCAGCGCCTAACAAGTAGAAGCGGTGTAGACTGAGGTTGAAAATGGAGCCATGGAAAAGGTCAGCCATGGTGAGTTGATTTGATTTGAAACCTATGTCCCGCCACGAAGTGAGGGCCCGAGACGTCACTCCTGAATTTGAAGGTCCAAGGGTATCCATGTCTTTTTCCCAGACCATAGGGGGTTCCTCAAAATTCACCCCCTGCCTGGCAACTACAAACACATTGTATCCTGGATGGCCAGATAGTCAAGCAGACGTCGAGATAGAGTCGGATCCAGTCCTGAAAGCATCAGCAAAGGTGTCGGGAGTTTTAGAACACCTGCTTGGGCACGCAAGTTCTCAAGCAGTCCATAGCAGTCCCATTTTGATTTTTGAGGTGAGCTGCTTGATTTTGTCCTTTCGCACCTTCCTTTGGAGTATCGGCTTGCTGGTCATGACGTTTTACGCGCGGCACTCAGTACTAAGGTGGGATGGGATAGACGGCGAAACATGTTTGTGAGACAAAACGGGAACATGCAAATGTGAGGTGCGACTTCCATGGTGTCAGAACTGAAAGAGTTGCCAAATTTGGTAACGTTCAGTGGCAGACCAGTGTGTTCTGCCAGTTTTTCCTTCTTGGTCATTGGCTGCACTCTGGTTCGAGAGAATCCGTTCAGAGGGCCATCACTTGTGGGTGAGCTTGCGGTGCTTTGCACAGCCAAAGGATGTCAAAGGTGTATCCATACTTGTTTGGGCCGGTGGCGGTGCAAGAGAGTCACCCACTTGGGATAGTTTTTGGAGGGGAATATTTCTGTTCGGTCTTTGGAAAGGATGCCCTCGCTTTTCCAGGGGTGCTCGTAGGTCAAGCAAGCC